TTATCAGGTGATTAATTTTTCAATAGTTCTGTTGCCAAATAAATAGAGGGTTTTGACCCATCTGGTGCTTGACAGAGCTGAGTGGCTGTGCTCAGAGTGTTCTGCTCATAACACCTGGACATGGCCAGAAATAGTCATTTAGACAATTAATTATGTTGTCAAGCACCTGCAGAGAATGAAGGCTTAATTTTTGAGACTTCGTTTTAAATAAGAATAAAAAAGTTGAGAACTTTGGGATTCTGTTTTTGGTATGATCATAAATAAGTAGTAACCGCTCAGTAATTACAGAGTGCTTTCACTCTAATGGAGTCTTATCAGTGTAGTGTAGCTGTATGTCTCATTCTTTTATTCAAAATTTAAATTGACATCTCTGTGTATACTTACTGTACTTATATATACAGTACTTTAATAATTGGTAAAGATATATTGGATATAAACACATTCATAATTAATTATTAAATCATTCATAATTGTGTAAGGAGATATACTGAATATAGAAAGTCTCCACACTCTTTCCATAGACACATTTTGTGGCCTTACAGCCTAAAATCAAGATACATTAAATCAGAACATCATTTACCTTTATTTACACATCTGCACATGACCGCTAAGTGAAAAACAAATGCTCAAAATTGGGATGGATAAGTGTGCACACCCCTGAGTTAGTCCTTGATTGAAGCACCTTTTACTTGAATTATAGACATACCTCTGTTTGGATAGGTCTGAAACAATATAGCTAACCTAGGTTGGGCGATGTCTGCCCATTCCTCCTCACAGAACTGTCTGAGCTAGCCATCTAGCCTGATTGGTAGTTAAACGTAAATCAATCTCTTTCAAGCCATTTCTTGAAAGAAGTTGGGTATCAGCTTCAACAATTTGGCTGGGTAGCATGTTGCCTTTCCCCCACAACACTTTGTGTAAAGCATTGGAACGTTAGACAAGAGTACAAATACAATAGCTGTCTGTGGTAGGATCTCAGGGTGGCGTTCATTCTACAGTGGGCGGAATCTGAAGATGATGTTGATACTTCAAGCTTGTTCAAGAGGGGGATGAAAACACAGTTTTTGACAGATTAAAGAAGCGAAGGAGGAGACATGGCAATAGCTATGTTTTAGTAATTAGATGGTGGTAAACTTATAATTAAAAACAGGACTGGGAGAACGGCTAGTTTAAGTGCAAAACACCCTTCCATCCATTTTGTAACTGCTTTATCCAATACAGGGTTCTGGGGGAGCTGAACGATAGCCAGGGTACACCCATCATCATCATCTTCCTTCTCCTCCATGCCCTTCTTAGTGGTTGCCTTGGGGTATGCCCCCAACAGTCCCAACATGTATTTGGACTGTGGTAGGAAATCCATACAAACTCTGCACAGGTAGCACCCCGGAATTGAACACAGGGCCCCAGCACAGTGAGTCATTAATGCTAACCACTGCGTCACCATGCCACCTAAGCAGCCTCATTTTAAAATAAAGATCTGGTGCAATTTAATGTTTAGTTTCTACATTCGCTTTGTGAAGTACAGTCTGAGTCTGTGTTGTTATATTGTGCATTGGGAGTCCCAGGATTCAGCCTATCATTGTCATTCATTCTGAAGGCAAACCTGGGGTTTTAGTGGAGTAATACTGCTTACTGTCCATTTTCTGTCTTCTTAAGGGCAGAAGTAGTCATTTTTCTCTTTCAGGGCTTCTTGATCCCCTGTAAACTGAAGCGCTCAAAAGGTACAACGTCTGTGAAAATGTAATGAATCTAGTGAGAAGACGGGGAGCGTGTTTGCCCACACCTGTACACAGATCCGCATGTGGAGACACACACACTGTCGCTGCAGTGACTCGGCCTCCTCTGCAGTGTTTCTTTCCCAGCCCCTCCGTGTTCTTCACAAGACGGCGTGAGGCGAGGTGATTGGCTGCTGAAAATGTCTCGTTAATCTCCGGGGCCGGTCTTTGCCCTGCTAATCTCGCGTCCTTGGACAGGAGGCTGGGAGAGGGGGGGGGGAGGGGAGAGAAGGGACCGAGACCGGAGAGGAATACACGAAGGAGTGCAGGGAGGCGAGTCAGTGAGAGGGAGAGACCAAAGTCACAAAGAACAGAGCAACTCAGAGCAACATAAGCACAGTGGATCGAATTGGACCTTGAGAGGCCGAGGTGCGGGAGCACTTTGCACCCCTTGTTCGCTATAAACTCTGCTTTCGTGTGCCATCTGCTGAGGTGGGTGCTTTATCTGAAAGGCATTCTTACTGCCTGGGTAATGGAATTCAACCCAGACCTGAAAGATCCAGATTTCAGTGGGATTTTTGCCAGTTGGATTCTTTCTCTTGTCATTTTTATAGCATCTTCTGGTTTCCTGATTCGACAGCATGTCTCAGCCAGAAAGGTCAATGTGCAATACTGGTTCTTAATCTCTAAACTTTACTGTCTTTTGATTTTTTTAATCACTTAAGCGTAAATGTCATGTCAAAAGAAATGTGCTTTCTTAGGTAATAGATCTTTAGCATTGTTGATGTGCAACTCTCATAAGATGAAGAAAATTCTAGGCACTTCAAAAGAGTTTTGTTGTTGATGTTATTCAGCTAAATCTTGTATAAATTTGGTTAGATCTGACACTTTCTTTTCATTGCTTTCTAACATCTGTCTCCCTGTCTTGGACGGTTTCCTTCTTCAAATCCAGTGGGACATTTCTCACATGAAGCCATGTCACATGGTGCATGATGTGAACCCTGCTGTTGTAACATAAAGCCAAGGAAAGTATTGTGAATGCTGCCCCCAGATTGTGTTGAAATGTGTGTGAAGTGACAGGGACCCCTGTTAGTCTTCTCGGGTTAGAAGAAAACCTGAGTCTTGAAAACGGGTCAGATTCCCATGGTGGACAACACGATCCCCTCGGCTTGTGTCGTGTTTCAGATCCCATGACTCGTTCTGTGTTTCATTGGCCGGGCCTCACCCTGCTGCTGTGTGTTTGGACTGCTGTGCTCTCACCTGAGATTATGTGCAGGATAGGAAATGTTTCAGAGAGTTCGCATTTCTGCTGCTGATGTTAGGAAGTGCTTTGCTTTCTCTACATATGAAAATCAAATATAAAAAAGCAGAGTTTGTGTATTAGGAGGTTTGTAGACTGACAGGCTCTCAGTAAGCTAACTGCTATCTGTGTATGTGGAGCAGAAACTTGATCCGCCCTCTGGGCTTTAACCGGGCGATGAGACGTTCTGTGTCATCTTGTCCCATAATTGCAAATCCTGCTATTCTATAAGTAAATCTCCATTCATCCAGTATTGGTCAGCCATCTATCTTCATGGTGTGAGTTACAGTAGGCCAGAGCCTATAGCGGCAGTGAGCACCCAACTGCTCTCTCCTCCTGGACTGGGTGCTGATGCATTGCAGACCCATGGAAAAAGAAGTTATTTAGAATAGTTGATTAAACTTAGCTATAATGTCTTTGGGATTTGGAAGGAATCAGAAGCACCTGGCAAATACCCCCCCAAAACATGGGTGAACATTCAGACTCTATATAGATGGATGCCTAGTGGTAGAATCAGGCCTAGGATCCTGGAGCTGTGAGACTTTAGTAGACTTTAGTCACTGCATGACCCCTAATACTGCAAAGATGCAAATGTCAATTAGTGCGTTGTAAATACTAAAGCAATGTCTGTATTCTCTTCTGTGTCAGAGATCATTTCAGAGAGCAAATGGACTCAATGGCTCATTCATTTACATCCTGAAACTAGAGTCTATAAAGGTGTTCCAATCAGAGTTATAAAAATACCTCCAGAGTCCCAGGAGCTGAAGGACTTTACTGCATTTTTGTATAAAAACAGAAACAGAAATCAAAACTACACATGAAGCATTTTACTGTGATTGACTTTGACTGACGTCACATCTTTAGAGCAAGCACTGTTTGTTGATTGTTTCATTTCTGTTTTACTGCTAAAAAATGATTTATTATGGTAAATGTTAACAAAATACAGCTTAGAAATTGTTACATGGTCTCCATTTTTATTTAAAAGCAGTCATACATCTAAAACAGTTCTTTGAAAGACAAGAGTTCAACTGAAGTTCTCTGAAAAATGGTCTACTGTATATCTGCAAGGGTGTGTTTCTACAGTATATGAATTTATTAATATGCAGTCATCTATGTAGGCATTTATATTGGCAGTAATATACTTCAATTTGTAAGCAATCACTGGCATTTGGAATTGTTGTAAAGGTCAAGGAGGAACAGAACATCCAAATTGAAAACTCAAAGGCTTCTGGGTAGCCTTTGGCTGCACACTTTGTAAGCTGTGATCACAATTTCCCCAGCAGTGGCGCACAGCTGGTCAGGTGCTTCTGTGAGGTAGAGCAGGCCGGGGGAGTCGTGAGCTTGCAGCGATGTTTCTGAGAGAAACACTGCCCGTCCAGTCAGTGCTGTCACAGTGAGGCCTGTGGCAGGTGACTGAGACTGGGGTGTCAGAGGACTATGGGTGCAAGGTCTCCCTCTGCTTCCAGTGGGGCTCCAATTTCGCACCAGTGATTTGGGTAAGTTCCAGATCCCCATTTATAAATTGGATGGGTATTAAACAGAATAATTGACCATTCCCAAGTTAAAATTTAAACAGGGTTTGTGTGTATCAAAAATAAACTGTGTATTTTACAAATGTAGGTATATGGACCTTTAGAAGAATTAAAACATTACTGCATGTACCTCCAAGCAAATTTAGAATATGTAATCACATAACAGCTGCTGTTTATTTATACTACAGCTGAATTATGATTATAAAGACCTCTCTAACTCTGAATGCTATTGCCAGCTAATGACTGATGGCCTGAAAAGATTCCAGGTGTTTATACAGTAGTTACTCCATTTCCATGTCTCTGGGCTCTCCGTGCTGCACTTAGGAAACCCTGAGGCGAGGCTTAATTCAGCCCTGAACCTTGTCTGTGAATAAGAACCCACTTTCCCCTAATAGATGGAGACAAACAGGAATGCAGAAGCCAACTGCCCATTTTTGTTTGCCTTCTCTCCAGGTGACAGCTTCAAGCAGCAGGGTTTCGTGAAGAAGAGCGCCTCCTGGGGTTGATGGAAGCCTGACGTTCCCACGGTGAGAAGGTAGAGCCCAGTTAACAAAGCGAGGGGGTTGGGGGTAGGGGTCTCCTGTGCACCCGGGCTTTGGCAGCATAATGTGGTGCCAGTCTGTCACCCCCATTGGTTCGAAAGCACTCTACAGAGAAGCGCTCTGCATTATAAATACTTAATGAGACAAATGTTCCTTTTATGATAATTAAGTACTCCTCAGCTGCATTGTAAATATTCAATAAGGGATCCCAGGCATGGTTTGCTCAGGGAATTTCCTCACCAGCTGCCCTGCTGTGGAGGGACTGAGAACAGGACACAGAGGGAAAGAGGAAGAACTTGTTTGAAAGAGTAAGGCTGGACGGCTGGGCAGAGATTCGCTGAGAGCCTCCAGTCAAATGCTTTGTGTCCATCTGCTCCTGATGGGAAAACATTGCTTTCTGATTGATCTCTGCCAATCATAGTGCATGGCCTAGGGTTGACAAACAAGGGATCTTTCCATCCTGGTCCGTGGTACAGTATGACCAGCTTCTTGATTATGCGAATGACATCTCCTGTTAATTACTTGAACCGTGAATGTGTTGGTGGTGCCAGGCCCTCCGGCGAAGTGGATTGGAAAATCCTGATGCCATAATGTGGGTTTCAAGGCTATACACGTCCATGAGCATGCGCTGGTGTAAGTGGGCCTCTTCCTCATTGGAATATGTTTCTGAAGTGAGAGAATTCCAGATCCAACAACACAGAGGGAGAGATCAAAGCCAACAATCTTCATCATGTCCAGGCAGGACTTTATCCTCTCTTTTATCAGCATGGCCAGACTCAGAGGTTTATTCCAATCCTGTTCTTTTTTTCTGGTCCCTCCAGAGGGATCAGTTGTTGCCTATTGACAGAGAGGAGCTAGGAGAGGTGGATGTGCACGTCCTTAACGCCAGAAAACGCCAGAGATTCAGGAAAAGCTTACACCCCTCTGCAGCTAATGTGACAGAGTTTTGTTAGATGCTTGGCTCCTTAACTTCTTAACAATGTTATCTTCACAAATGCTGAGAACCAGTAGGAGGGTGAGGACTGGGAACAGGGGTTCTGGATTCTTGGTTGAGGTAGATGGTGGCATTTTGGGTAAGAGGTGGACCGTTTCGTAACATAGCCCCTGTGGTTTGCAGTGTCCCTCAAGGGATCTGTTTCTTTAAGAAGCTCTGACCAGCACACATCTCATCCAGCACATACCTGTGTTTACTGGTACTCACCAGGAGCAGAGCTCCACTGCACATGGCCTGAGGGAGAAGGAGCTGCTTTCTCTGAGAGGCGTGCACTGAAAACTCGGCATTAGTTTATTCCACCCGCTCGTTGCTGTGGTTTCGTGTGTCCAATGTGTTGCGCTGATAGTGTGAAGGTGCCCGTGGGGCTGCCATCCTCAAGGGCACACAGAGGGGAGTACTGGTGTAACCACATACTGTAACACTCAGTAGGCCAGCTCCTCCCTCCTGTGTTGCTTCCCAGTTGAAAGTTTTCTGAATGGACAATTGTTGAGTGACTTTGCTACTGCCGTGTGTCTGTGAAAGCATTTTCAAAACACTTTTGCAAAGGGGAATGTTCTAAGTACAGTAAAAGGACAGTTTACAGTATGAGCCAGATGAAAGTGTATTTGATTAATTAATGCATTTCACCTCTGATTGCATCAGGAAAGAAAGCTGTAAATACAGGACTCAAACCCTCCTGAATTGCCACTGTTTGACCAAAGCATGATGCTGACAACATCTTCAACTATACTGATTGCAATAGGAGAGTTGTCATTCAGTATGTGATTTCTGGGTCACAAACGCAGAAGACTCAATGCACAAAACCACGCCAATTGCTTTTTTATTTTGGGACATGCACAAACATCTCAGGCCAAAGTTTTTTTTGTTACTTGAGTATTTTAGTCATGCATTTAATGAGTACTCCTGGGCACTGTCACAGAAAAACAAAAACAAAAAAATGTCTCACGCCTGCTATGAAGGGCATGGGATTCTGATGAACGCTTGTTGATAGCTTTCCTGCTTTTAATGAACAGTTGTGGGCAGGAAGCAATTTTAAGAGGCTGACTAATGCTGTTTTTTATGGTTGTATTATAGAAAAAAACAACAAGACTCCTATTACGTTGCAGTTGGATCCATTTTGGGTTTCACAAGCTTCTGCCTCTTATGTATGTCAGCTCCAGATGCTGGACATTTCACTTTTGTTACTCAAAATCATTTTTTTTTTTTATTGACTGGCTAATGCAAATTGTACAAAATTGTTGCCTTTTTGCCCCCTCAGTACCATTTGTGGGCCTTTAGCTCATTAAACCCAGAATGCATTAGACCCAGTGGGTGTCATCTGAAGCAGTATGTTGGCAAATGATAAAAATTAAATAAACTCCAGCCCTTCAGGAGACTTTTTCAGGTTCAAAGTATGGATATGAATATTTATATGCACACATTTCAATATTTGGATGTGCTGTGAGAATGGCTGGGTTATCACAAGATGTAATTACCGTAGGTGGACTAACAGAGAATTTTAAAGGGGCACAGACCTGCTCCCTGCTGGTCTCCCCTGCTGAAGGCAAGGGTGATTGTGGGTGTTTCTGGGAAATTGTTTCAGTAAGAGCAGGCAACAGTTGATTCCTGTTCCTCCAGCCCTGCCCATCAGTCCTGTTAGTGCAACAACCATTGCTTTCCCCACCTCAAACTGACAGCGTGTCTGTCACCACCAGCTGTCACCACCAGCCTGGGTTATATAATCACTGCTGCACGCTGTCCAGGACTCTTTGTGAGTGGGTCTCTGCGTGTGTGGGTATGTGTGTGCACTCTTAAACATCTGGAGGCCTGGCCAGATGTAACGTTTCACCCAAGCTTTCTATCTCAGCACCAAAGATTGCCTTTGGAAAGGCTAAGTTAGTATCAGTCTAGAAGGGACACCTTTGGCTCTTGTGTCCGGTTTTCTTTCATATTTTTTGGAAACAGCACTTTAAAAAATGCTGAGTCCCTAGCATAAAGTCTATATACTTTTATACCTGTAATATCTTTGAAAATCTACTGATGTAATAAGGCACTGTGTATTACAGATACTTTCCAAGCTTCTCACAGTAGTTGAAGTAGTGGTGTAGTAAATTGTTGTGAATGATCTTAAGGAGGGGTCTGTGACCTGTGTCATGATATACAGGCAGGATGGATAAAGTAACTGGGAATCCCAGCCCTGTTCTTTAGAATAAACCTTTTCCATTTAGTCTTTGTTTTTCAGTGTGTAGAATTAAAATGAGAATGAGAATGAGAACAGTACTGCAAAGACACCCAATATTGCTTACTTCCTGTCCACTGCAGGAAGTCTTTCTCCTCTCTACAGTTTTATTGAATCATCTGACCAACATGCTTTGGTTTGGTGATTATGGCCCTTTGAGTCTGGAACATTGTGGTGCCAGTTGAGAAACATCAGTTTAAAAGATATTGTTTTTTTGGTAGTTAAGACTTTATGGCTTTCTGGGGGAGCTGGTTTCTCTTGGCATTTTGGTATCTCTGTAGCCCGGGGAACCTGGTTTTCATTAAACTAACCTTAAGTCCCCTAATTGAATCTTTTTGATTTATAATATTAGGAATTCTTCCAAAATGCTACATACAGTACCATCATTTTACTCAAAATAATCTATGAATGTCAGCTTTTCTACATACAACAGCATAAGCATTGCCCCCTATATCGCAAGTGATTTAATTCACTACAACATAATAAAGTAATAAACTAAAAAAAAACATTGGTGATCAGTATTGTGTTCCATTTCAATAGGGAATAGCTTCATTTCAGAGCCAGTGTAATGGCATTTAAGTCTGAAACTGTATGAGTACCTGACTAACACTGGGTCTGAATGTGAAGGAATCAGGGGAGATGCTTATGAATCAACAGTGAACGTGCTTCATCTCCTGTAGCAAAGAGACTTCCTCCAGTCAATTAAGATTCTTACATAGCACGTAGATTACAAATCATAACTTTGCAACAGTGGGGATGTGTCATGCTAATATGGCAGCTGTCAGCTCCAGAATCTCCAGTGAATAGCACTCTTTACCTCACTTCCATAGGAGACCTGCAATAATAATATGAGCACCCCCCCCCCCCCGCTGATATTCTAGAACTGTCCTGACCCGTTATTAATGTCTGTTTGTTTAAAAATGGGTTTTGAGTCTGTGGCATTATACACAAGGTAGTGGGGCCTACCAAGTGGCTCAGCTGATAAAGGCGCTCTCCTCAGCACAGCTTGAGCACTACGTACGTTCATGGGTTCGAGCCTGGGTCTTGTGACTAGCTGACTGAGAATGGCGTCTCCTCTGACGCCCGGTGGACTGCAGAGAGAGTCCGCTCGGCTCTGGCCTGTGAGTGTAGCGTCCCTGCGCTTGTTTACCAGGTGCCATTCAGACGGATTGCGTCAGTCAAGCACAGAGCCGGGAGAGGGAGAGGCGGCGCTCCAAGTGTTGCTACGGCAACCAGTTTAATGGTGGGTGAGAGCACTGGGGCAGAGCGGTGTGTACTGTATGTGTGTCCGAAAACATCAACGCAGAGAGATGAAAATTGAACCAATGAGTTGGAGAGGCTTAAGGATGAAATTAGAGGCTCTATAGTTCAGAGGAGGAAAGAAAAAGGAAAAATACAAAAATGCTCACAATGTTTAATGCCATGTTAGTAACATGGCTGCACATGAGACACTATAGATGTTCAATGAGGGGTGACTGATGGACATACTTTAAACTAACGTCAACATTTGCTTAACTGGGATTCACCGTAAATATTGGTTTGCTGCCTCCATTCAGTTTCTCCTACAATTTGTGCCCATTCCCTTAGTATTTGCAAACATTTTCCTTCACAACCTCTCAGAAGAGTGAATCACCAAAGATTAAAATAAAGAGATTTTCTGAAACAGCGCAGTGGCAGAAAACATTATTCACGGTTGCAATGAATACATCAGCAGATGTCTGCTTTCAGAAATATTTCCCCTCTGAGGTTTGATGTTAAATAAAATGTAAGTTTTTCTTCTG